GGATGACTATCCCATCCAGGGCCTCTTGGCCCTCTCTGTTTTGTTGGGGCCATTGTTCAGATTCATGTTCCCGTTGGGGTTCGGACGTGTGTGCACGTCCCGCATGTTGATGCGATCAGGAGCAGTCAAGTCTGGCCCCACACCTGCGGAACAGGCAGAGATAGACCGCAGGTTGGCAGAGAAGAAAAAAGAGAAAGAAGCCAAGAAGAAACAGAAAGAAGAAGAAGCCAGAAAGAAAATGAAAGAGAAGATGGAGAAAGAATTGAAAGAAGAATTGAAGAGCATAGAAGAAGAAGAAGAAGTAGAACAGGAAGAATAACAAACCTTGCAAAGACGTCGTCACGTTAATATTCCAGAAAGTAGCACAGCCAACCGACTCCCCGTTGAACCTTTGAACTGGGCTGACCAATATTATTACTCCAGCGAAATCTTAAAGGAGTCTGAAGAAGAATGTGATCTGTTCCTTGCTAAGTTAGCTACGGTAAATGACACCGTTGAGCGGAACCTGATGATGGAAGAAAAAAAGGCAGAGTTGAACAGTAAACTGCTAGCCACCAGAAGACAAGAAATTGATGAAAAGAAACGGCTGCAGGCAGAAGGGGAGAAATTACAGAAAGCTCTAGAGGAGCAAAAAGATAAACCCTCTGCGACTGAAGAACAACTGGCACTGCTAAGGGAGGCCGTGCTCAACACAAGACAGGACATGGCCTTAATGCGCCAGACGCTGCAAAGAGTTGAGACCCATCGGGTTGAGTTCGAGACTATTTGGAACAACTTTTTAGAAAAGTCTGCTAAGGACGTGGACCATCATGTTCAGACATATATCCAGGTTTTGGATGATCATGTCACTAAAACGTTCACTCCGGAAGTCGTAGAGAGGATTGTGAAGGGAGCTGGAGGCGATGGGGGAGATGGTGACGACGATGGCGATGGTGACAGGAAGGGAAAGAAGAAGATTGGGGATCCTAAAGAAAAACTTCCTCAGGAATCCGGGCAGGTTAGCAAGATCAAGCTTAAACTGCCCTGGACCTATAATGGGAAAAAGGAAGAGAGTGTCTTACATTGGGCAGCCGCAATTGAAACCTACGTATACGGACAGCGTATTCCATATTGGGACAGAGTATTGATGGCGACATCATGCATGGGAGGCGACGCCATGAGCTTTCCCATCTCGCTGCAAAAGGAAGCGGGATGCAGCTCTATGATAGAATATTCGCAGCAAACGCAAATCGACGACTTCCTAAAGTTAATAAGAGAAAGGTTCGAAGACAAAAATCTAGCAAGACGTACAGAAATGTTAATTCTCAGCCTTCCTGACAGGAAATGGAAAAACACTTCTGCATTAAAGGCCACAATGGATGAATTGTTGCAATGTCCTGATCATGGATTAACGCCAGCCCAAATTTTGAATAGCTTTGCAAGAGCACTCCCGGATCCCTTAAGAACACAGCTCTATCCCCGAACCAAGGAAGATGGGATGAACTATGAGAAGTTCGGCAAGATCGCCATAGATCATGCCGGCTTCCTCGCCGAGGCGAATTATTGCCACTACTGGAAAGATCTGCAAGCGGGAAAAAGATGGCAAAACCGCACTATCTCAGGGTCTATACCTGGGAAAGATAGTCTCCTTCTAACCTTTGAAGAAGGAGGCGCCGAGACCATCTCCTGGGATCAGGTTGACTATGGTCTCGATGAACCCAACAGACCGGTAGCTCAGGAGGGGAGTTACGCAGCTGTTGCAGCCCGCGGGGGAGGGCGTCAAGGAAGAGGGCGTGGCCGAGGAAGAGGTCGCGGCCGTGGTGGAAGAGGATTCGGCACCCAGAGGGGTGGTGGCGAAGGTAGCCACTACGTGGGAGGAAGGGGAAATGGTCCCTCATACGGTGGTCGTGGTTCTTACTCCACCTGGGGTAGAGGAARAGGCTCATGGTACAACAAGTGGRATAAACCGTACCCACCTCATCCAGGCCTACCYGAAGGGGAGCCTTGGAAGGAGCTTGGCATAACAGAAAAAGTATGGACCGAAAGAAAGAAGGCAGACCAATGCCTCAAATGTGGGGACCCCGACCACATTGTCCCCTATTGCCCTGATTATCGGGGGGCAAAAGGGAACAGCCAGTAGAGGTGTCAGTTGCCTCTACAGGGGCTTCGAGTGTTGAAAAATCAGAATCCTCCCACTCAAAGGCCCCAATGGCAGAAACTGAAGAGGAAGGAAGTCCCCATCTAGTGCACTGTCCAGAGGTGGCAAAGGTATGCATCTCTCTAGATGGATCCCTCGCTGGCGTGGGTGATGAGTTGGCCGCTCGTCGCCAGGCCTGGACTGAAATGCGTAAAAAGAAAGGACAGCTAATAATTGCAGATCTAGAGATAAATTGGATAAGAGTAGGAGGCATGATAGACAGCGGGTCTACACGTAGTTATATTAGTAAACGAGGTTTGCAAAAACTGTGTCTTGGGCTTAAGGTTAAGAAGTTAGATGAGCCCATTGTAAGTAAGTTGGCGAATAGTAGTGAAACTGTCATGGATCGATACATTGAGGGAGTACAAGTATACTTTCGGCTAGAGACAGAGGGAAAGGTGGAACGCGTTCTCCACTCTCTAACCTTCTTGGTGGAGGATAACTTGCCCTTTGATGTGTTGCTAGGAATGGATTGGGGTGAGGCTGCACATGCGGATCTAAAATTAAGGGAACATGAATGTTGGCTTCCAAGTCCGCAAGGAGGTAAGAAGAAAATCCGCCTCTATCATGAATCTGGAAAGGAAAGCAGCCTAGCTCACTGTTGTATGAGTGCCCCAGCGTTCGCTCGCCATGTTAAGAAACATA